CAACTATGAGTTGGTTTAAAGCATGGTACAACTCTTACACGTAATATTTAGCTCTTCGGGTACAATGCAAAATGCTATGGAGATATGGGGAATTGAACCCCAGACCTCTCCCATGCTAAGGGAGCGCTCTACCACTGAGCTATATCCCCAACGATGCACCACCCTTTCAACGTTCTCTATGATCATAAGGGAACATTAACGTGTAGTTAAATCCACGAAGTCAGTCGACTCGTCTTTCGAGAGACTTTGAATGAAAACAGCTTTTGATTGTTTTGAAAAAATTAAAAATAATGAAAAAATTCATTTTGGACATGAATGGGACCGAAAATTCCATCAATTCCGAATTTTTGCATTTTTAAAAGAGAAAGCGTCAGCATCCGCACCGCATGTATGAATTGCTCACAAATGTCCCATCTATGCCTACTACCCCAGTGATGGCCATGTGGTGTAGACCCGCGCGCTATACGTCGCTTTTTTCCCAATGTGTCGCACATGGCTAGAGCAGACTTCAGCTATGAAGAGATTTCCACATGCCGTTTACCCGTCAGAGTTAACAGTGGTGAGCATTTTGTTGGAACTGAGCGACATAATTGGAAGTGAATTTATGTAAAAGAGAGCTTAAAATGTTAGAAATCCAATAAATAGAAAGTTTCGTCCAAAGAGTGAGCGTTTTCTCTAAAAAATTCAAATCAAGAAATTTTATTGTTTCATTATCCAAAATGATAAACATCTTTGTAAATTTATGAATCTCAAATGTTTATGAAATAATAAAAATCAGTATTTAGGATAAGCATTGGCAGTTTCTGGCAACGATTTTATGAAAATCTTAACAATATGTACATGAAAACATAATCAACCAAGAGTTCTTATAACTACATTGAAGGTTTATCTGTAGTGTACAGCTAAGTGTATATACCATAAAGAAGCCGCAAATAACTTAAGAACCACGAGAATTAAGCCAAAGATCAACTATGTAGTTTTTGGAATTAGAACTTTGACATTTTCCAATGCATCATAGAAGAAGAATCATAGGGAATAGTGTTTCTTTTCCTGGTATTGTGTGTTGTACGCCAACATTTCTTCTACTATTACTGCTAATTTATTTATTTATGACCATTATATATTATGCCAAGCAAAAGACGCATCTCGATGAACAAAAGCCGACATTAACATAGCAATTGATGCTAAAAATAGCGATGTGAAAGTTGTTAAGGTTTGAGGTTGTTTCAAAAGTTTTGTATTATTCTAAACAAAGACACTACTTTCTTTTTTCGCCTCAACGAATTTGATCTTATCTTCATTTGAAAGAC